GTTTTTCTCCGCAGATTTCACGTAAAATTGTTTAAATCTGTTCATATTGTGCAAGCATACCTGGTAGTGCTGTTCTTCCAAGTTCACAGAGCAGTGCGACGCTTACCGAGAACCTTCATTACACTAGCAAGTTCCCCGGGAATGAATATAATGGTACCGTTTTGAAATAAATAGCAGCGTGCACCAGACTAGCTGGTGCTATCAAGCGTTTTGCGCAATTCGTCCATCGAACCATTGCCTATTAATGATTTTCACTGCTTTGTACTTTATTCTATGCAAAAATAGTTGAAACGTTGAAAAATAGTTGAAAATTTCACGCATCGGCACTACCGCAAAACTGCAGCTTCTTGACTTTTACAGTTCTTAAGATAATAATTTCCCCACCAAAATTTTCACGGGGCCGTAGCCGATAACCGAGAACGCGAGGACGCTGCATTTGAATGGGCAAAAATTCACTGCTGTAGAATTTCAGCCCCCTAGATTCCGTTGTCCCCGAGGTAATAATTTACCCGCCAAAATTTTCATGAGGCCGTGAGTGATACCAAGAGTGCGGGAACACTGAATTTAAAATTGCAAGGTCGTGCATGAGCAGGGGGTCATTACCCTGATATTTCAGCTTCGCAGATTTTGTGAGATAATAATTTACATGCCAAAATTTTCACTGGGCCGTAGGTGATACCCGAGGACGCGGGAACGCTAAATTTGAGTTCGCAAGGTTGTACGTGAGCAAGGGGTTATTGCCCTAAAATTTCAGCTTCGTAGATTTTGTGATTTCCGAGACAATAAATTACCCGCCAAAATTTTCACGAGGCCGTTCGTGTTACTCACGGGAAAGAAAAGGCTGAATTTAAATTTTCTGGATCGCATGTGGCAGGGGACACGTCCATAAAGTTCCAGTCTTTTGGTTCCGGTGATTTCCGAGATAATTTTACCCTCAAAAACATTTGTAAAGCCGTGCATGTTACCCGCAGACAGTGGAAGGCTGAGTATAAATTTTCTGAGTCGTACGTAGGCAGGGGACATGCCCACAAAATTTCAGCCTTCCAGCTTCCGTGGTTCGTGTGATAATAATTTTACTCGCCAAAACTTTTATGGGGCCGTACGTGTTACTCGCGAGTACGGGAAGACTGAATTTAAAGTTGCGGGGCCACACATGGGTGCGGAACATCCCCTTAAATTTTCAGCTTCCTAGCTTTTGTGGTTCCCGAGTTGAAGGTGAAGGACAAAACGCACTCGGGGACACACACACACACACACACACACACACACACATACTACATACATACATACACACATAACCCCGTGACAATATGCATTTTGTACTGCTGTTACACAGCACTAAACGCATAAAAAGGCTTCGTTTGTAATGTTTTTGCATTTGCTTTTCAGGACTTGCAAATCCGTGGTGGTGATATCATATTGGTG